TTTCACTTGGATTTAGTTCATATAAGTTGTTTAATAGTCGTCCTTTGCAAATTAAGTTCTCATTCTTTTGTATAATGCAAATCGAATTTCCAAAAACAAAAGTAAAACCTTCAATATCTAATACAGGAATAGAAATAAGGTTTCTAATGAGCGACGGAACAAATAAACAATCGTTCAAAACAATAGGAAAACTAGAATCCAAAACATTTAAGTAAATAGTGCCAATGGCTTCAGCAGCAACTCTTGCTCCATTCCCCATCCTTAGGTAGGTCTCACCCGCTCTAAGTCTTCGACTTCTTGTCATTAGCTGCAAATCATTGCACAAATGTGAGCCACAGCCCGTATCCAATACCCAAGAAGAAGAGTTGACAGACAAATTTACGTCAATGAAATACGTACCCTTTTCAGAACCTTTCTGCTTTAGGTAAGCCTTGCAGTTGCGGCGCCAATGTCCTTTCTTTCCACAGTGATGGCAAGCATCATCAACTTGTTTGCTAACCTTTGCTTTGGGGCCCCCACTGCCTTCACCCACTTCGAACTTGCTGTTTGGGAAGGAAACTCTTTCCTTTCTCTTCTTTTGGAAAGAACTCTTCTTTCCAGAAGGAGCAGCAATGAGAACAGACTTCTCTTTCTTAATGGTGGACTCGAAGCTGACCAACATGTTCATTAACTCATCCAAGGGAGGATCTAGTTTGTTCATGTTGAAGTTCACTATGAACGATTCATAGGAACTAGGAAGAGACAACAGGATCAAATCCAACGAGAGCTCGGCCGGGAGGGTGACATCGAGATTCACTAGCTTTTCAAGGAGAGTGATCATTTTGAGACAGTGCTCGTGGACCGAAACCCCTTCGCGCAATCTCGCTGTGATCAACTCCTTTGTAGCAGCGTATCTCGATGCCCTAATATTCTCACTATACATGCTATCGAGATGAGCCTTTATATCGAAAGCATGCAAGTGAGACTCATATTTCCTCGCAAGAGCGGGCTCCATGGCGGCTATCATATAGCACCTAGCATGAGTGTCATCTTTCTTCCAAACTTCATAAGTTTCCTTTTCAGCATCAGTCGCTGTGGCAGGTAAAGTGGCGGGAAGCCTCTCGTTCAAAACGTAGAGACGCCCCTCAACAGTTAGCACAAGCTTAAGACTACGCAACCAATCTAGGTAATTAGGGCCATTGAGTTTATTGTCGAGGATTGACATTATGGGATTCTTAGACATAATTATCTGAGACATATAGAGAAGAGGATTATTAGAGATTCGCGTTAAATGATTGTTACAATTAAATGTTTGGACTTATGTTATTTAATTGTTCTCCCACTAATTTTATCGAGTTCCACTTCCCTCTAGTAGACAAACGAGAAAACTGATTTTTCTTAATGGGCTTTAGGTCCAATAGACAAATATAACCCGTAGTTAATCTAGCCCGATTATATTTGCCCAAAGGTAGATCACAATCAATCATATCCACAATATGACCCTAAATTAATTTTCCTCACACTTGATAATGACCTAAGTTAATCTCGCGAATATCAAAATCGTCGTGTGTCAAGTCTAACCTACCAATCAAAGATGCTCATAGAACTCGATTATGCCAAACTAATGCAGTCCCTAGTTAATCTAGCCGACCACGTTAATTCAACATAACCCTTTTCTATGGCTACCTTCATCATTATGTCAATTGAATTACAGCTTACTCTACCATAGCACTCCCCGCTAACACGGCTTACTGCACTATAGTAAAGGGCTACACATAATCCAACCGTTGGCAGAAGGAAAGAAATAACTCAACAGATTGGGTTTTTCTTTATAGCTTGAAATGATTCTTAATTAAAAGAATGAGGGGTTTTGATTAAGTGTTTTATCTCATCAGAAGGTTTTGGATTGGTCTATGTGATTCCTACATCTATGTTCTCTAAAGGTATATGGAAAACGCATATTGTCCTAAGAGGAACATACGACCTAATTTCATAATTAATTACATTAATTAATTATCGAGTTTTCAAAATAATTATAGAACCTCAACTAGCATAAGTCATTCAAATAATGTTGAGGTACTACTAATTAAGTTGAACTTATAATCAATATTATATATGTGTTCTATTAATTGAAATCAATTTAACAATTTAAATTAATTAATTAATCTAACACCTATTTACTAAAATAGATGATTGTCGATCCAATTATCTAATTGGGATTAATTGAAAATAATTTTCCAAAAATTAAAATCAATTTGTTTTAAGTTTAATTTTAGAAATCTGAAATAAAAATTTTTTTTTTTTTTTTTTTTTTTTATTTATTTTTCAGTGGTCCGGTTCGGCCCAACCGGTCTGACCGGTTCGGACCGAATCGGGCCGGTTCTGTCCGGTCCAGCTGACCCAAATCAGTGGGCCGGGTCAGTCGGACCGAGAACCGGTCTGACCGACCCGAATCCACTTGGATTCGGTCAACTAAACCGCACACAACCATCGAACCGGCCGGTTCGGCCGGTTCGATCCGAACATTTAAAAACCGACATTTTAAAAACAATTTCAGATCCGATTTTCCAATTTTAAACAATTTTAAAGCTGGAAAAATTCTAAACAATATTTCAAAAATATTTTAAACTTACGAAAACTCCCAATTACATAATACGACAATCGCTACTTTAATAAATCGAACATACATATTAAAATGAAACGCAATTAATTGCGCAACGAGCTCTGATACCACTGTTGGGTTTCGGGCACGCATACGCAGCGGAAAACAAAAATTTTACGTGATTTAAACCACTTTAAAGCACACAAGTACATGCCCGACAAATTAAATCAATTAATTGCGTACCTTTGCGCTTCCAGCGAAATTAAAAACAACATACATGCTAATAAATTTAACCGAATTTAAATCAATTAACATGCTCGCAATTTAAACCAAATAACATGCTCGCAACGATTTAATCGATTACACATAATCACATAAAATCATACAAACACAAGCATGAAATCATAGTTTAAATTAAACCCTAAAACGAAACTAGGGTTTCGAGTATTTACCTCTTAACGCGTGAGGTAGGAGCGAACGATTCGTCGTGATTACTACGGAAACCAATCCGTAGAATCGGGGCAGCAATGGAGCAGCAGCAGCGGCGGTGTGGCAGCTCACGGCGGCGCGTGTACAGCACGCGCGGTTGTGCGAGGCGGCGCGTGGGGCAGCGTGCGGCTTCGGCTCGTGCGTTGCTCCTCGATTCTTCGATCTACGGTCTTCCTCCTCTCGGATTTCACCTCGTATACTTCGATCTACTAAATCGTGGCACTAGACACGAAGTAGTTAGAATAAAACGGAAAGAAAATAAAGGAGAAAGAATACCGAACAAAAGCCGGCCGAGGAACGGCCGTTTCCGGCGACGGAGCGGCGGTGGTGGCGCGGTGGTGGCCGCGCGGAAGAGAGGGCGAGAGAGAGAGGGTGGCCGATTAGGGTTAGGGTTTTGTGTATATGTGCTAGGGTTATAAATCATGTATTTATAGTCCTTAGCATGAAACCCTAGCGGGCTTAAGTTGGACTGGGCCCAACAGCTTAAGCTCGTTAGTTTCTTTAATCGCTCGTATCTCTCAATTCAATGATCGAAAAATTGTAACGATTACAATTTCCGAGTCATTATAATTTTCTCGTCATTACGAGTGCCATCTCTTATTTTCCAACTTTCCAAAAGTGGAAACCCTAGTTCAGTGGACTTTCTAAATTTGGAAACTTCCCGATTTAGAAAGTTCACTAACATGTTCGCTTATTCTTTCCCTTTTCTTATTCTCATTCATAATTCCAAATTACGAATGTTGGACTCAATCATATTGACTTCCAATTATGCAAAGATAAACTATTTTATCTCTGACCGTTTATTCAAAGATCTCATGTGCACGAGCAGTGTGACCCTCGATGGTTCAGGTGTAAGCTAGCCGTGGGCCCACAACTCTTTGTGGTCAAAACTCGTCCCCTTCGAGTTACAATTAAGATGAAGCTCGTTTCACCTTAATCACCCAACGAATCAAGATTGGCGTCTAGCAACTACGCGTCATGATTCCCTAGATACAAATGAAGTGCCTGCAAGAACCTTCAGATATAGTTAACGTACAGTACGGTCCCTTCGATTCATATGTCCCGATCGAACTAGAGGCATTGGTTCATCGAGACCTCTTTATATGTTCAATAACGGTGCGATCGTTCTAAGTGTTGTAATCGTTACGTGCATGACTTAGAGAATCGAATCCTCTAATCATCACTTAGTCAGCTCTGGCCAGAGACTTAGAATGATTACAAACTTTCAGAACACACAGGACATCCAAGACTATTCTAGCGATCGAATCCCCGACTACAATGCACAGACCTCCCACTAGATTTCGGACTGCACGAACACTGGCCCTTGGGATGGTCCTCGGTGGAACTCAGGGACAGGTCACGATACAGCTGGTCCTCTAGTGAAGTCACGGTGATGTCTAGGTCATAAGGACTAATGGTGTACAACTATACCATAGATATCTCTACTCGATTATTGGGAACCACTTAGAGATTTCTAGGGTGAGGGAGTTCAGTGAACTCGTCAACTTACGAGCACCCACTTGTGCATGCCGATATCACAATACCGTTTACTGATGAGATGCAGTACACATACACTAAGTGCTAGTCTTAATGGGAAAGGCCGATATCCTCATTAGTGGCGTAACCCTTCGACTAGGAACACGTTTAACAGTTATAATACTTAAGTAAATATCTCACGATCCTAACGATCAATTACTAGTACTTGTAATAACTGTAAGGACTATATCTATGCTTGTGACAAAGGGACAAAGATATAGAATGCCAATGTGTTTTATCATTAATACGAATAAAGGTTCGTTTATTACAATAATAAATACGAAAGACCACAGCCACAAGTTGGCTTGTTGGTCACCTACTCTAACAAATTACGCGCCTATGCCAGTTCCAATCGAATACTCATATGAGGACACATAAAACATATTGGTGTTAGATGAACTGGATTACGACCGGTTTGAAATGGGTAGAGAACTTCAACAGTGTCTTGCTTCCATTACAGATGAGCAAAGAAAGGTTTATGATGTAGTCATGGATGCAGTAACCAATGACAGTGGTGGAATGTTCTTTATATATGGCCATGGTGGAACGGGAAAGACGTTTATATGAAAAACTCTTTCGGCTGCAGTTCGTTCGAAGGGAGAGATTGTAATTAACGTTGCATCGAGTGGTATAGCATCGTTATTGCTCCCCGGTGGAAGAACAGCTCATTCTCGATTCGGACTACCCATAAATGTACATGAGAGTTCCACCCGCAGCATATCGCAACAAAGTCCACATGCAGAGTTGCTCATAAGGGTAAAGCTTATTATATGGGACGAGGCTCCTATGATGCATAGATACTGTTTTGAAGCCCTTGACAAGACAATGAAGTCAATATTACAGGCTGACAAACCCTTTGGTGGTAAGGTGGTTGTTCTTGGAGGTGATTTTAGGCAGATTTTACCAGTTGTGCTCAAAGCATCAAGGCAGGACATAGTACATGCTACGATAAACTCCTCTCCGCTGTGGAATTTCTGTCGTGTCATGAAGTTGACTAAGAACATGAGATTGCAGCCATGCTCTTCTCCATCTAATATGGATGAGATAAAAGAATTTGGAGACTGGATACTGAATGTTGGTAATGGGGATGTTGGGGAAGACAATGATGGTGAAGCTTCGATAGAGATTCCAGATGACATGTTGATTGGTGATTCAGAAGATCCATTCAGAGACTTACTCGAATTCGTTTACCCGGATTTGTTGAGTAACATGTACGATCGAGATTATTTTCAAGGGAGGGCGATTCTTGCACGAACTAATGAATGCGTCGAGTCTGTGAACGATCACTTAATGTCTATCCTTCCAGGAGAGGATAAGGTGTACCTGAGCTCAGATAGTATGTGTAGGGACGAGCACACAACAGAGGATAATGCAGAAATTTATTCGACTGAATTCCTCAACACAATAAGATGCTCCGGAGTTCCTTCTCATGCGTTGAGGATCAAGGTTGGTACACCCGTTATGCTAATAAGAAACATCGATCAAGCTAGAGGATTGTGCAACGGTACCAGACTTCAAATTATTAGAACTGGCATTCACGTTCTGAGTTGCAAAATTCTTTCCGGAAAAAATATCGGTGACATGGTGTTCATTCCTCGGATGACTTTAATACCATCTAACTCCGGACTGCCAATTAAATTTCAGAGAAGACAATTTCCGTTGATTGTTTCTTTTGCAATGACGATAAATAAAAGCCAAGGCCAAACTCTTTCGCATGTTGGTTTGTATCTTTCTAGGCCTGTCTTCAGCCATGGTCAACTATATGTTGCAGTGTCCAGAGTTAAGAGCAGAGGTGGCATTAAGATATTCATCAAGTCGGATTCGGGTGAACTCACCAATGTTACTAGAAATGTCGTGTACAAGGAAGTATTTCATCGAATTTTAAGGTAGAAAATATTTTCGTATTTATCATTTATTCGTGTAACATGTTTTTTATTTTATTTTTAAAGAATTTATTCTTTTGCAGGTGTTTCTTATCTATATATTTTCCCCGGTGCGATGTTATTTTCAGTCATTTCCCTAGGGTGCTCGGTGCAATTCTTATTATCTTTAAGATTTATTTTTGACGATATATTACTATTTAATAGTATTCTTATATCATAACTATGAAGAACATGACACTTATAACATATTTTTATTATTGTTGGTCGATTACGTTATGTACTTAAATTCGGTGACCGTGATAATTGATATATGCGTAAATTTATTTTTGAGACATGTATTTACAGTTAGAAATATGTCGCCCCGTGCATCGCACGGGTGAATACTAGTAATAACAGAATCTGCTTCGCACAAAGGGCTCCAAACCTTGAAGATCAAGTGATGAATACTAGTTTTAATATTGTAATTTTTTTAATAATCCAAGTTTTAATTTTGCTTATATTCTATTTGTGATTAAAATTGAGTTTATATTTTTTAGTTTAATTATTATTGTCATCTAAGTTCACTTGTTTCATTGTGTAAATATGTATGGATTAACTATAATTAAGGGAGAATTTGAGCTAGGCTCGTAGAATAAAGTTTTACTACAAATCAACTCACCATTTAACTTTCATTACAAATAAACCCACAAAAATATGAATTCTCAAAATAGCCATATATATTTGTATTTGGGATAAGGCCAACATACTTCCATCCCACCCCACCCTGCCCACCTGATCTAGTCCCGGATTTTATTTTATTTTATTTTTTTGCGGCGGAGCTCCGGTTAGCTGGCTCAACACTAGTTAAACGTTTATTGTGATATATATATTACATGTGTGAAACCCTAACCCTTTACACAAGGGAACTAGGAGATATACATACCAATAATACAATATTTATCTATAATATATATGTAAATAAATATATGGTTATTATAAATAAATATACGGCTAATATACCCCCGCAGTCGAAACGGGAGATGGGCGAACGTGAAGACTGGAGACGAATTCTCGAAAGAGAGGGGCCGGAAGTCCTTTGGTGAAGACGTCAGCGAACTGATGTGTGGACGGGACGTGGAGGACACGAACGTGTCCCAAGGCGACTTTGTCCCGGACAAAGTGTATGTCAAGTTCCACGTGTTTGGTGCGCGCATGTTGAACCGGATTGCTCGACATATAGACAGCACTGATATTGTCGCAATAGACAATGGTTGCTTTCGTCGGTGGACAAAGTAGTTCGGTCAGGAGGTTACGTACCCATGTCGTTTCAGCAACGGCATTAGCTACAGCCCGGTATTCGGCCTCCGCACTTGAGCGAGAAATTGTCACTTGCCGTTTGGAAGACCAAGAGATAAGGTTGTCTCCTAGAAAGACACAATAGCCCGAGGTGGAGCGACGAGTGTCAGGGCATCCACCCCAATCGGCATCTGAGTACGCAATAAGAGACATGTCTCTAGAGCGGTAGAAGTGAAGCGTGTAGTCAAGAGTGCCGCGAAGATATCGCAGGATTCTTTTGAGGGCTGCCAAGTGACTTTCTTTGGGATCATGCATGAAAAGGCAGATTTGTTGCACGGCATAAGAGATGTCTGGCCGTGTGAAGGTGAGATATTGAAGAGCGCCGGCAAGGCTCCGGTAGAGAGAAGGGTCGGCGACAGGGGGGCCGGAGTTGGCAGAGAGCTTTGTTTTGGTATCTGCTGGGGTGAGGCACGGGTTGCATGAAGTCATCTTAGCACGTTCAAGGATCTCCTCGGCATATTTACGTTGAGAGAGGACCATCCCTTCGGACGAGCGCGTAACAGAAATGCCAAGGAAGTAGTGTAGGGGGCCGAGGTCCTTCATAGCAAACTCTTGGTGGAGTTTGGTAATGATGGACTGAAGAGTGGCTGCGCTGGAAGCTGTCAGAACTATGTCGTCAACGTACAATAGGAGGTAAGCAACTGTAGAGCCCGTGCGATACACAAAGAGGGAGGTGTCCGATTTGCACTCGATAAATCCAAGAGAGGTGATGTAGCCGGCAAATCTCTTGTACCACGCACGTGGTGCCTGTTTGAGACCATAAAGAGCCTTTCGAAGACGACATACATGAGTGGGACGAGTAGGGTCGACAAAGCCAGGTGGTTGTTCGCAGTACACGGTTTCAGAGAGATTGCCGTGGAGGAATGCATTCTTAACGTCGAGTTGATGGACCGGCCAGGAGTGAGAGGTGGCAATGCTGAGAACTGTCCGAACAGTTGCTGGTTTGACCACCGGACTGAATGTTTCTTCGAAATCAATGCCAGGGCGTTGATCAAAACCGCGAACAACCCATCGTGCTTTATACCGTTCCAATGAACCATCAGCCTTCAATTTCTGCTTATATAGCCACTTGCGACTGATAACATTAGTAGAAGGGGGGCGGGGCACAATATCCCATGTGTTATTTTTAATCAAAGCAGTATATTCCTCAAGCATGGCCATACGCCAGTTTGGATCAAGGAGGGCATGGCGATATGTAGTGGGAGTTGGGGATGAGGTAGACACGGTAAGGGAAAAGGGGATTTTGGGCTTGTGAATACCGGCCTTGCTGCGTGTCAGCATAGGATGGTTGGGTGGGGGTGAGGAAGCGGGAGGGGGAGGCTGTGGTTCTGCTGGGTGTGGAGGTTCAGCCGGGTTGAGGGGCATGGGTGGAGTTGAGGGAGGACTGTTGGGACAGTTGGATGAGACAGTAGGTGGTTCTGTAGTGTTGTTGGACGAACTGTTGGGACAGTTGTGCGAAACAGTAGGTTGGGCAGGTTGAGGCTGAGGAAGAAGAATAAGTGGGTGCATGGGTTCGGTCATATTAAAGGTGGGGGAGTTGTGGGATGAGTCGGTGGATTCAGCAAATGGAAAACGACTTTCGTCAAAGATCACATGACGGGAGATAATGATTCGACCGGTTGATCGATCGAGGCAACGATAGCCTTTGTGCGATGAGGGGTGACCAAGGTAGACACAAGGAGTGGAGCGAGGGGCGAGTTTGTGAGGAGTGGTGGCGGTTAAATTAGGATAACAGAGACAACCACACGAAGGTGAGAGTATGTGGGTTTTGATTTGTATAGGGATTCATGTGGTGTGCGATTTTGTGTGGATTTGGTAGGAAGGATGTTGATGAGATGTGTAGCCATATGAAGGGCTTCGACCCAATAGGTGGGGGGAAGGGAAGCTTGAAAGAGAAGTGAGCGGATCATGTTTGTGATGGTGCGGATCATGCGTTCGGCATGTCCGTTTTGAGGGGAAGAGTGGGGACATGAGAAACGGTGTAAGATACCGTGTTTGGCAAAGTATGTTTGAAAATCTGTATTTTTTAATTCACGTCCATTATCGCATTGTAAGGCTTTAATGGGGTGCTGAAATTGTGTTTGTATAAGTTTGTGAAACTGTTGGAACAGTGAGAAAACATCGGATTTATAGTGTATGGGGAAAGTCCATGTATAGTGGGTGAAATCATCTATTAACACGAGGTAATATTTGAAACCAGAAATACTAGAAATAGGAGAGGTCCATAAATCAGCATGAATAATTTCAAAAGGTGCAACGGTAATAGAATGACTAGTAAAGAAAGGTAAGCGAGAATGTTTGCCTAATTGACAAGCATTACAAAGAGACTCCCGTGGGTCTTTGGTACTAGAAATAAAATTGGAAGAAAAAAGACGAGACATGACAGGGTTTCCCGGGTGACCGAGACGACGATGCCATGTAGTAGAGGAGACAGGCGTGGTGTAAGCAAGGAGGGCGGTTGCGGATGGGATGGGAGAAGGGGCGCCAATAGGGTATAAATCACCGGAGCTATTGCACCTGAGGATGACTGCTCTAGTCCGAAGGTCCTTCACAGAAAAACCATAAGGGTCAAATTCAACTGCACAAGAGTTATCTCTAGTGAATTTTCGGACAGACACAAGGTTCTTAATGATGTGAGGAGTAACATAGACATTGGTTAGACGAAATGGGGTAGAGGGTAGGATGGTGTGGCCAATTTTATGGATAGGAACAGTGGAGCCATTACCAACGATGACATGCTTGGGGAAATTATTACTAGGATTAAATATAAAATGGAAATTACCTGAGTGAGGTGCCATGTGAGATGAGGCGCCCGTGTCCATAAACCACTGAGGTTCGCTCGATGACTGAAGAGTCAACGTGTTGAGATGAGTGGCAAGATCTGTTGGTGGTAGGGGACCACTGTTCGACGAACTGTTGGAACAGTTCACGTGCTGTTGGGGATCTTGCTGTCCAACAAAATAAGCATGAGCTGTAGGAGCATGATAATGACCAGGAGAGCTTGGGGGGGGGGTCCAAGAATCGATGAAGATGTCTGAGGCGTATAAGGGGCCCGCCAAGGTTGCGATTGGTTATGAAATTGATTGTAACCGTAGTGTTGCATCGGATGTCGTGACTGACCACGACCGCCACGACGATTTGTGCGACCGCCACCTCGCTGATTGCGCCAAGAACCACCACCTCGATAATTGTTGGGGGTGTTGGGCCAACTGTTGGAACTGTTGGGGCGAGATGCGTAGAGAGCAGTAGGGGTCTGCTCCGGTTCAGCAATGCGCTGTTCTTCCATCTGGAGTAGTGAACGTGTTTGGAGAAAAGAGGGTAACGGAGTTTGGAAGGAGATTAGATTGACAATGGTCCCGTAATGTTTTGGTAGACCGTGGAGGGTTTGGAGGACGAGTTGCTTGTCTGACACGGGGTTGCCGACGTCTGCCAAGTTGTCGGCAGTGGTTTTGAGAAGTTGACAATAGTCATGGATCAAAAGAGATCCTTTCTTGAGGGACTTGAACTGTTCTTCGAGTTGGATGGCCCGATAGTCTTCGTTGTCTGTAAAGAGAGAGGCGAGGGCCTTCCACAGATCATGAGCCTTTGCGGTTTTAGAGAGGACCATGCTTGAGAGGTCCTCGGTTATGGTGCCATAGATCCAAGATTGGAGGAGGTAATCCGCGCGTTGCCATTCGTCGGCGGAGATGTTGGTGGGCTTTGCGTTTCCGAGAAGCAGATCGGTGAGACAGAAGCGACCTGCGGTGATGATGAAGAAATGACTCCACTTTTGATAGTTCGGATTTTTGATATCCAGGGTTACAGGAATGAGAGCTTTGATGTTGGATATGGCATGAGCAAGATGAAAAGGGTTGGAAATCATGGTCGGTGTTGGTGTTTCGTCGGCCATGGTGGATGTAGAGCAGAAGAAAGAACGAAAAAAAAAAATTGAAGGAGAGAAACGACGGCTAGGGTTTTTTGCTCTGATACCATGATAGAAGGAGAATAATTGGAGAGAAGAGAGAATAATTATCTCTCACGTTTATTGTGATATATATATTACATGTGTGAAACCCTAACCCTTTACACAAGGGAACTAGGAGATATACATACCAATAATACAATATTTATCTATAATATATATGTAAATAAATATATGGTTAATATAAATAAATATACGGCTAATATTTTCATATATTTTTTTCCGGTGGTGGATCGTCGGAGCTCTGATTAGCTGACTCAATATTAATTAACTTCAACATTCTATTAACTTTGACTTTAATATGAATATTTTTTTTTGTTTCAAATATATGGAGGTCTAATATGCATAATTATTATCATGATTATTTTTTGGTTCGATGGAGATTATTATCATAATTTATATTTATTTATCTAACATTTGATTAAGGATAAAATTAAAAAAAAATCTGTAGTTTAATCATTAATGACTAGAAGGAGGTGGATGTTCGGATTGGGTACGCTTGTTGTAATACAAATGTGTTTTCAAAATTGTTAGTTATCAATACATGTGTATATTGAGATCATACCCGCTGAAGTTCACCGTCCATACGATTATTTTTTCTCATTATCTAAATGTCTTAATTAACCTCTAATTTCTCTCCTAAAACTAGCTGAAAAGCTATAATGAAATTGAATCAATGTATTGTTTTCCCTTATAGATATAATAAACGAATGTCTTTATTCAATTAGGATGCACTTTAGATGTAATTAGTGGCTGCGGTTATTGAAGGACGATGAGAGAGAGAGAGAGAGAGAGAGAGAGAGAGAGAGTATTTTGGATTAAATACATATAGGGTTTTGGGTTCTGGTGTAAAAGAGCCAAGCCAATTCGGCGATTTGTGCGTTCGATGAGACAGCTCGATAAAAGTTTGAATTTTCTGACGAGTTTGAGTTCGAACCCATCTTTATTTATTTAATTTTTATTTTTTATTCTATAACTTATTTATTAAATAGTTTATCATAAAAGAATTATTTTAATATTATGTAAAAAAATACAAAATAAAGAAACTGTGATGACAGATTTAGTATATTCATATTCTACAAAACTACTTTAATATATATATATATATATATATATATATATATATATATATATGTATTGTAAATTATGATTATATTCTAATATACATTATTCTGAACGCCCTTTCATCAGGTTTGAAGGTTGACATTCCCTCTAAAATATATTCTGATTGAAACTTGAAAGAACATATTCCATGCAAAATCTGCTGTCACCACTTTAGCCAAGTAACACAAAAATAAAAAATAAAAACTGAGTACACAATATATATATATATATATATATATATATATATATATATATATATATATATATATATATATATATATATATATATATATATATATATATATATATATATATATATAGATAGAGAGATATATATATATACACACACACACATAATTGTGTAAGAGTGTGAGAGAGAGATAGATATATATATATGTATATGTATCTCTGTGTGTTTCTTTCAGAGTGAGTAAAAAAAGAAAACATATACATGCGCGCGCGTGGACGCGCGCGCGCGAGAGCGCGCGCGATCGCGATATATCTCTATATATATATATATATATATATATATATATATATATATATATATATATATAGAGAGAGAGAGAGATATATCTAGATAGATA